TGAAAGGATCCAGAGGAGGGCCACCCGCATGATCCAGGGACAACAGGGCAGACCCTATAATGAAAGACTGCGGGACCTAAACCTGTTTAGCCTTCACAAGAGAAGGCTGAGGGGGGACCTGGTGACTGTCTATAAACTCGCTGGGGGGGGACCAGAAGGGTTTGGGGGAGACACTGTTTCTCCTAGCGGCCCCTGGCATAACAAGGAATAATGGACACAAATTATTGGAGAGTAGGTTTAGATTAGACATCTGCAAGAACTACTTCAGTTAGGGCGGCTAGGAGCTGGAACCAGCTTCCAAGGGAAGTGGTGCTGGCTCCTACCCTGGGGATCTTTAAGAAGAGGCTTGATGCCTACCTGGCTGGACTCATCTGAGTCCAGTTTTTCTCCCGCCTAGGCAGGGGGTTGGACTTGAAGATCTACAAGGTCCCTTCTGACCCTACTTCTATGATTCTATGATATGATTCTATGATTCTATGTAGAAGCTGTAATAAACTGAAACATTAAGCAGAAAAAGTAAGAATGCATATACAATAAGCACAGATGCACACCTAAGTGAGGAGGAAGAGCTGTTCCTATGCTGTTCCAAAAACTCAAAATATAGATACTGGGGAACAAGTAAATGGAGTCACATACAGAGAGGTGCAAGGGACTCATTAAAGTGAGAGAATCTAAAGCAGTGGTTCTCAACCTTTTTGGACTCAAGGCACCCCTCAATAATTTTTCTGAACTGATTGGTGCCCAATTTCAAAAACTAATTTATTATAGTAATTACCTCCTTGCAGAGGGGCCAGGAAGTGGGGAAGGGGATATTAACCAGGAAGTGACAAGCCTGAGCCCGTGCTTATCTTCTAAATCCTCATACCTTGCAGCACCAGTCAAAAGATCTAGTGGCACCCCAGGATGCCCAAGCACTCTGGTTGTGAATCAATGATTTAAAGTGTAGGTGAAAGACAGAAGGACCATTCCCGTGTTGGGAGAGTGCATACTTGCACTAAGATAGAAAGATAAAAGAAGAGAACAAGACTTTGTGGTGCTACACAGAGGAAAGCAACCAGTTTTGGACTGGTACATACATAAATTGGTCTTATTAAGAGGATGTATAACATAGCGAGGATGAAAGTGAGCACTGAACCAAAAATTGAAGGCAGTGATAGGATCATATGAAGATGTATTCACAGGTAGTGGGTGCCTCCCAATGACACATTAAATATGGTTAAGGGAAGATACAGAAACAGTGTTATATGCCACATGAAAAGTCCCCACATATCTTAAGAAAAAGACCAAAATTAGGGATACAAAGCAGAGCAATAAATGGTAACATTAGGAGAAGAGAAGAACCAACAGACTGAGTCCATTCGCTGGTAACTGGAGAGAAGAATGACGGGGAACTATGACTGTGTATAGACAGACCCAAAAGAGTTGAACAAAAACATAAAAAGAGAACACTTTCACTTATCCACAAGAAATGAGCTATTTATTGCAAGAGATGGCAGGAGCCAAATTCTTCAGCAAATCCTGAAATGACAGGATTTTGCCAGTTCCCTTTGGACACTGAGAGCTCCAAGATCTGCATTTTCAACATCCATTTGGAAGATACTGCTTATTAAGACTACCTTTTGGGATATGTTCAGCTCCAAAAGTATTTCAGTGCACAATGAGCCACATGCTAGAGGGCCTAGCAGGTGGGAAGGCTTATATTGATGACATAATACAATGGGGTAGTAGGGCAAATGAACATCAAGAATGACTGGGAAAAGAACTGGACTTTGCAAAAGCTAATAATTTTAAATTGAATCAGGACAAATATCAGTTTCAGACAACAGAAATAACACATTTGGGTGAGCAACTGACCTCAAAGTGGCGATTAGCGGAAAACTCAGACCAAGTTTATTTCCGACTACACAGCTTGCACAACTCATTTAATGTACAGTCTCCACAACGGCATGAAAGGGAAGGTGCACCACCAAGGATACAGTGCCTACTTTTGAAATTGCAGAAATATGATATGATTCTGGATTTCCAATGTTAATGTCACTTAGTAATGGCAGATATGCTTTCAAGAACATGTTCTCTGTCAAACAGTCCATGAAGAGATGGTGTGGAGGAAACTGTAACCATACATGTGAACATGATTAAAACATCATGCAATGCATCCCTAGGCTTCTGGAATCAACTGGTGATGGAGACGGCTAAAGATGAAACATTGCAAGTGGTGATACAAGTAATAAGTGAAGTAGGAAAAAAATCACATTTCCCACCTGCATATTCTCAATATAAAAATGAACTTTCAGTGATCTCCAATGTACTGATGAAGGGTACACAGGCTGTGATTCCTTCAGTGATTAAATAAAATTTTGGAATAAATACAGAGCCAGAGGTGTTGTCTTTTGTCCATGAATGAATAGTGACATTGAAGACATGGTGAGAGAGTGTGAAACATGTCAGAAGTACAGGAAGCCCAGCAAAAAGAACCAGTGACATCCCATGAGAAATGTGCTATTCCTCAGGACAAGGTAGGAATTAACCTATTCAGTCTGGGAAGATGATAACTACTAATTTGCCAGAACCAGTGATGCTTGAAGATACCTCAGTGATAGTAGTTGCCAGACATATTAAATCTATATTTTCACACCACAGCATTCCAAGAACTGTAATTAATGACAATGGACCACAGTTCAAGAATAGGAAATATTGAGACTTCAACGAATAGTATGACTCCTGTCATGAGATACCATGTCCCAAATACCATCAAGGCAGAATGTGGAATAAGCATTTTGAAGAACCTGCTAAAAAAAGCAAATGAAGAAGATCCCTACTTTGCAGTACTCAGCTACAAAGCTATACCACTACAGTATGGTAAGTCACTTGCAGAACTACTCTGGAACAGGCATATAAAACTCAACTTCCTGATGTAGGCCAGAAATGACAAAGGAGTCTGAGATACTGTGGCAAATACTGGGAAAGTACAATCAGATACAGAATTACAAGACAAAAGTAAAATGACTTTCACAGTTAAAAAAACCCCAACGATTCCACGTGAATTTGGCAAGATAGATATTGGCCAGTTAAAGCTAGAGTAATCATCAAAAAGTCACTTCACTCATACATGGTGATAACAGATTAAGGAAAAATTTTAGAAAGAAATTCAAGATATTGTCCCAAAATGCTTAACAATGAGTGATACAGGAACAGAGATACCAGTTGAAACTAATTTACAACTTGACCTGAAATGTGACAAGGCGACTGAACAGTTAGTTGCAGATAAGAACATGTGGTACAGTACAGCTAGAAGACTGCTGAAATTGCCAGAAATTTATTGAGACATGTAAGTTGGAGTTTGTAATAGTTGTTACCTTCATATTATTGTATTATTAGTAGGGACATACTTAAATCATGGTTTCTTTAATTAGTGCAAAAAATGGCATTTTGCATGATTTTGTGCAAAATCGCCTGGAAAGAAATAAAAGCTTACCAGGATACAAAGAAAGCATGGCAAACCCTGCAGCCACAGAGCACGTGGTTCAAGAGGGAGCTACTGAGAGGATGGGCTAGTGACGTAGACTCAGTGAAGGTGCCCGTCAGGAAAGCAAAAGGGTTTTGGCACCATCTTTTAAGAAGTCAGATGCAATCCTGCAGCAATGCTGCAGTCTGAAGATGAGTGATCGGCCTCTCAGCCAATCAGAAGTGAGGGATGGGGCTGCCAGGGCCCCCCAGCCAATCACTGGTGAGGTGGGTGGGGAGGGCTCACCGTGAAAAGACTGTGAAATCAGCTCTGCATGCTGCCAACAGCCTGCAAAAATCCCTTTGTCTTGCCATGATTTCAGTAGGTCACTAATTATTAGTCTAGTTATAAAAAGGGCAGATGTGACAACGTTCTCCTGGACTCTGAGTATCCAGGAAGTATGTATCCATGACACTCTGGGT